CCAACTTTAAAGTTCATTCTCACTCCCTAAATATGAATATTTACTGAGAAAAAATACATGCCAATATATTTCAAACAATTGTATAATACAAAGTTTTATAAAAATCTGTGGGTGTCACTTAAGTGATAGAAATAATATTGAGTGGAGAAATAACTAATGTTTAAATTCACATTTATTAAGCATTTTTTATTTATTTTAATGAGTATAATATGCTCTGACATTTGGTACCTTTTCTTTAAACATTCTGTATATAAAATTATCATTTTATGTTCCACAGAATAGCTGTATAAAGTTCAAAATCTATGTAAAGTTCAAAATAGTATATTAAAGCAGTTAATACACAATTCTTTCATCTGTTTCATTTATGTATTATAATTATAACTTAAATCATTAACACTTATACACTTTAACTATGAAAAAAATTATTGATGGCATTCACTAAAACTTTTCTGGAACTTCATTGAAACTATGCTTAATGTTCCTGTTGAATCTGTCCTTCAAATGTTATTTAGAAAAGTTAATTCTGTCTATCACTTTATCACAAATTACTTACATTATGTCAAATAAAAGTAAACTCTTTTGAAATGCCACTAAATCGAGTCTAGCTTCTCACATTACAGAACATTTTGTGCGAATGTATGATTTCATTCAAGATGTTTTCCCTGATGTTTATACACAGTCAGATAGGAATATTAGTCTAAAGAAAAATTATGGAGGAAGGAACACTGATTGTAATGTTTTCAACAGAAGTATACACAGTACACCCCAATTAAATGATGAGATTGTTTTCATTACTGCTACACAACTCTTAGTCTATCCATGTAAGTCTACAACAGTACTCTCAAAATTTTTCTCTTTGGAATTCTTTTCAGTTCCTTGGTTACATTTTGTTAGATTTTGTTAGTGCCATTAAAATGTTATATAAAATATTATTTTTCAAAAAATAAAAAAGTCTGCTAATGCCAACTATACCTACTTTGATAAGTAAGGAGGATGTTAAAGTGCTCAAATTAATTTGAAAGTAAGAAATTGTTTCTAAAAATGTTTACTCATTGTCAGTTATATATTTATAGAATGTTTTATTTTTATTCAATAGTTACCTAAGGGCATATTCTAGTCTACACGCCATAAATTTCGGCTATATTCAGGATTTTTTTTTCGGTATTCTACAATGAATAACAATGTCCAACTTTTTCACATATTAAAATATTTATAAATCATGGCAAAACAATTTCTTCAATAACTTTTCAATTGTTTGTTTAATGCTATATCTGGAGGTAAAAAAAACTCTCTCTGGCGA